TGGATTCCTAGGGTATTTTGAAGGTGTCTTATGTTCCCTAAATCTTCTGAACAGTCTTGGAGATTTTTACTGTTAGTCCTTATAGATTGTTTTACTACCAGGTATATCTTTTTTTTCTTGAAACTTCAGTAGAAATCAATAATCATTCTAAACAAGGATTCTGCATACATACTGGTAAGAACTAAAGTTTTTTTGGCTTGGTTGTTACTTATAGTTTGTGTTGTATGAAACAACTGCTGGGGAGGAAACATCTGTTTAGAACCAAACCATCTCCAATCAACCAGATGTTGCATCAGTGGTCATGTCTGTTCTCCCATCAGTTTTTTGCTGTAGGAATGCACTGTCCTAATTTGCTCAAGATTTTCATTGTCATCTTGAAGTCTGGTAGATATTGAGCTGTCACTTAGTTCACAGTTTTCAACACTTATCTCTTCATATCTGTCTGGGAAGCATTAAGTAGATCAGTCAGCTTGCATTGTTTTTTAATAGGTTGCATGCAACAACTTGATAAAATCTGATCCAGAAATATGCATAAAATAAAATTTCATCTGCTTTTGGATCAGATTTTATTCCTCACAGGGCACTTACATTCAAAGACAAAGACTTTATTGTTCTCCCAGTAGTTTTATTTCAAGGAGATACCTGTCAGCACCTACTGCTGCTATATTGGAAGTGGACATAATAGCTGAAAAATATTTAATTAAGGAGAGGTTTCAAAAAGCAGATTGGGATTTCTGGGCTTCTTTAGAGCTTGTTGTCTCTACAGAAAAGATTTGCATAAAAACACAAGTTCTTGGGTCTCAGTTTCCTTGATGCAACTCCATTCACGTGAGTTTACTCATAACTTGTGCCAGCATAAGTGATTACCTCTTTACTGGTAAATTAATCAGGACCAGCAGACAGGTTTGGTACTGTACACTATGTCTGTGCTGTTCAATTCTTCACTCTCCCTTTGATGCAAATCTGGCTCATGCCAAATAGCACAATTCCAGAGGCTGCAGGACCTAAATACAATGAAAAAGTATCTCCTAACTGTAAGGGTAGCGTGAACAAATATTTAAGTATTGTTCATGCTATTACATAGCTGTTCTATATTATTCTTTGCCAACGCAAATATATTTTGTAACTATTTCTTAAAATAATGCTAGGAGTGTGCTTAATAGACTTCAAGATTATCTTACATTGTGTGTCCATTATATTCAGTATTTTATACTGGTGATCATTCCAATAGCACTGTTGGATTTGTAGTCAGAGTTAATTTCTCCATTTTGAAAAATCGAAAACATTTAGGAAAGGGTTCTTTATTATGGGAGAGTTTCAAAATACTTTGAGTAGCTACAGAACATGGGAATCTAAGAGGTGCTGCACTTCAAGCTGACTTTGCTGCATTGGCATCACTCCTGTTGACTTCCTTGGCATCAAAATCTTGCCCAGAAATTCTTTTGTTGCAGTGTCTTATGGGAAACCAGTTAAGCAGAGACTCAACACAACACACCGAAGTTGCTTACCCTGATTGTGTTTTGGTTTCCAAGAAGTCAATAAAATCCTGTATTTGTCAAATTCCATGGCAAAACATCCATTTGATTGAATTTCATCTATAGCCTTCCTGCATTTGGGTCTCTTTATGCTGCACCCAGAGATTCCCTGCTTGGAAAACATTCTTACTCTGTGACAGGCTATTGAGAAACTGGTTTGATATGGAATGCTAGCAGAATTTTTAAAACAAGCCAATAAAATGTGGATTAGGGTATGCAAAGGGTATTTGCTCAACATTTTTAAAGAAAGCCAAACATGAAGTTGCTGAGTAACTGGTCTGCTGCTTAACTTGGCCTTTTTGCCAGAGAAATTGGGGGTTAGAAATAAATGATTTTTGAAAAGGTGATCTGGGAGATGCAGGGAACAGAGTCCCCCAGGGATCACTTACTGGACCTGTGCTCTCTCCTGTTTTCACCAATGGTCTGGAAAAATAGATGAGGAGAAACAGGTGACAAAATATGTTGACAATACAGAATTCTTCAGGTTAGTAAAAAACCAGGCCTGAACAAGAAAAACACGACAGAACTTTCTCATTGGCAGTGTGTAATGTTGATAAAGCAGTAGACAAAGTTGCAGGTCACTAAATAAAAAACAATTACTTAATTGGAGGGAAAAATGGTCCTAAGAAAACACAAATAGCAGTGTGCTCTAAATAAGGTATTTTTGCAACTGAGAAGGGATATATGTAATCATAAGAGATGTTGTGAAACTGTGAACTGTGGAAAGAAAGCAAACAGAATGTTAAGAGTCTTTAAAAAGCAACAGAAAAGAAGATAAAGCAGTATTTGCAGATGTATAAATCCATATTGTGCCCTCAAGTGTGTATGCAATTTTAATTCACTTCCTCTGCATCTCAAAAAGGTTTTATTGAACTTTGCAGAGTGAAGAGAAATTTTTAAAATATCAAATTTTTTTATTTGTTCTTTTTGGATTTAAATCCATGCTAGGACAGGGAGACTGGACTAGAATTATACAGATTAAGATTATTCTAGTTTGGGAAGACACAAATGGAGAGGCAGAATTTATTTAAGTACAGAAAATTACGAGTTGTGTAATTGGCTGAATAGGAAACCTGAAGGAGTAACAACGGTCAAAGTAAATTGTCATGACACTATCAGTTGTTTTTTTTTTTTTATTATAAAAAAGGAAACACATTTTCTACAGATTAAATCAATTAGCAAAAGTTGCAATTCATTTTCCCAGCATTTGTAGGTTCAAAAATGAAGAACACATTCATAGTTATCCCCTGATGACTATTAAACATGACAGCACAATCTCAGACCTATAAAATCTCAAAGCCAGCAATTGCTGGAAAGTGGAAGAATATATGGATCACATCCTACTGTGGATTCTTAGTACTTTATTACTATGGATGTCATTTACTACTAGATGTTTGTATTGAGGATAGCAGGTGATAGCAAGTTTAAATATGTATGTCATACTGACTGCATAAAATGGCAGCAGCTGAAATAAGAATTCCACAACAGGAGAGTTTTATTGTGGAAGGAGAGTGTTGCAGTGCACAAGTTTGATATGAGCTCCCCTGTTCCTTTGCCAGTAAGATATACAGCAATAAAGTGTTTCTTAATAAAATTGATAAACAGAAACAACATCATTCCTCTGGGCTCAGGTGTCATCACATCTTGATGCCAATTGAATCAAGCACATCAAGCTACAATGCCAATTGAATTTCCATAGGTGACATAAATATCCTCTTAGCTTGTGGCAGATGTAAGGTAATATGACTGAGCTTAATCCTTAATCCTGAAATATTTGCTTTATCTGATCGCTGTGTGCACAAAGCTGTTGTGACTCTTGTGAAATTTGACTTGACCATGTATTTAACTCATCCTCATAAAATGTTTTTCATGGTAAATAGGTTGCCCTAAAAGAGCAATTAGCTTGAGGTAGGAGTGCATGTGTAACATTGCTTCAAAGGTCTACCCTCACATGGGGAGAGCCAGCCCTGCATTCCTTCTCTTACATGGCAATAAGTCTTTCCAAAGTCTAAATGTGGTTTTGTTCAGCCCTACCAGCACTTTTTTCCTTTTTGAGTTTCCTCCAAAGCCTTTATATTCTCTCTTGTGCCCAACACCCCTTTTTTCCTTCCTTTTTTTTTCTTTTTCTGTTTTTTTCTTTTTTTAATTTTTTTATTTCTCTCTCTCCCAAAAAAACTTCCTGAATCCAGAATTGGACAGCAACATAAAACTGAAATGAAAATCCTTTGAAGATGAAGACATTTTAATGCAATACGAAGATCCATAATACTCTATCTTACAAGTATACTGAATTGACAGTTGTTTTTAATATGAATATTCTATTTCAGCTTTCTACATTATGTACCTAGACAATCTACTTTTTTTAGTTCATCCATCCCACAAGCAGCAATGTATTAATGGTATTTCTTCATATGGTGTTAGTCTTGCTTAATAATATGCTCAAAATATTTATCTTGGATTTTTTCCTCCTTTTTTTTTTTTTTTTGTTAAACACAGGGAACTATGTTTTCTGGATTATGTTTTGTTATTTTTGAATTGGCAGGTTGGATGTTACTAGACAGTAACTGTATTTTTGTAGAAATAAGGGAGTTACCTCTCTTTCAAAGAATAATCTGATGAGCCAACTGAATATGAGTTGGTTTGAGAAGATTGCAACTTAGCTTCTTTAATCTGAGAATTAAAATTTTAGAATATTTTCATGACAAAATATTTTGTCCATACACTGTTGTCAATATTTAGAATTTGCTTACAATGGGCTCACTAATTCCAACAATCAAGGGTGCCTGTGTGTCTCTTCCTTTTTTTATCTTTGTTTTGTTTTGTTTTCTTTTCTTTTATTCTTCTTTATTTAGTTTTTAAGTACCCTTAAAAGAGGGAGATATCACTGAAAATGGGATTAAAAGCATTTGTGAAATCAGAACAGAAATGGAAGGCTGGGATCATAACGGTTTTGGATACTTCCTCAGATCTGAGGAACATCATGGTAAAGCTGCCCTATTTTAGGCTGGATTTTGTTGTATATAGGTTAGTTGCTGCAATGGGTTGCACAAGGCTTTCAGAAGCAGTCAGGAACAGTGTAGGTGAGTTTTTAATTCTGCCCTTCCCTTTTTATTGCTCTGCCTTGCAAGACAGAGTATTGTGGTTTACATTTAATCACCCTTGAAATAATTGTCCAATTACACAATAATACATTGCCAATCCTTCATAAGTTTCACGTGTTTCAAAATAGACAAGGGAGTGGTGTTGGAGACACCTGCAATTGAGGACATTGGTGGAGAGGTGAGAAAATGGAAGATATTTGTAGTGGTCAGTAGCAACTGCAGTGTTAAAGGTTCTCTTCAGCTGGTACAGTGTGACGTCGGAATGTCTCTGCTAATTAGAGAAGATGATTTGCCTCCAGGTCTAAGGTGTAAGCTTTGAATAGATGAAATGTATTAATCACAAGTTTCTGTTCTGTATTTTCAGAAGAATGGCGTGTCAAACGGAACTCTCTACAAAAAGACATTTATTGAGCACTTTGAACAGGCACCAATGTATGTTGCAGTTTTTACTGTCGTGGGTTTTGCAGTGGGAACAATATTTGGCTACCTGCGAGATTTTATGAGAGCCTGGGGACTAGAAAAACGTAACATTGCTGAAGAGAGAGAACAACAAAAAGTATGTATGAAAAAGACATTATGCATCCACAGCCGAGTTTTCCCCTGCTTGCAAGTGATTTACAGCAACCTGTCGAACTAACAAGGAATACACCTTTCATCTCAGAGAGCATTGCATAAGGATGAGGGGAATGACTCACACTGCAGTAGAGTTATATGCACGTGTACTCTTATGTACCTGTATATATAGGTAAAATCATGATTTTTACCCAGAGATGTTCATGTTGTTCCAAGAGTGTCATAATACTCTCAGCGAAATAGAGGTGCACTTAAGTTGATCCACGAAACAAGAAAACTCAGGAATGCCTTATTGTTAAATATATCATCTTGTCAAATCTCTTAAACCCCGATCTTCCTTTGTCCCACCTGGCTGCCTTCACATCCACAGGCAGTGATTTTTGTAATTGCTGGGTTATGTTTCCTGAACTGCTGCTCACAGAGCACTCGGGAATCATGTCCTGGCACAAAGTGAATGTAGCCTGAATTCTTGCAAGTCCTGACTTAGAAATTTTTTCATCCCACATAGTTCTAAGTGAAACTTGCACCTTAGCAAGCTCAACTGCCTTCCAACTTTGTTTAGAATTTTTGGTTGCTCCTCTTTCTCTGTGCAGTTTGAGTCATCATTTACAGTAACACCTGGCAAAATGAAGGGAAAATGGGAATAGTGTTACTGTTCCCCTTACAAATAAAATTCTGAAATTGTTTCCTGATTTATCTTTCCAAAGCTGAATGCACAGCTTAATGAATATCATTTTCAATTCACTTCATGGTTTGGCCACTTGTTGATTCCAGTTGTGCCAGTTGAATTTTCTTGTCCTTCAGCATGGATTACATGTTCATTTAATTCTCCTATGTATGTCAACTATGTGCCGTGTTATTTTATCAGTTTATTGTGACCAGTGTCCAACATGGATATATTCCTGTTTCATATAAAACTTTGTTTAGATTCCTTACATTTTTAAAATTTAATTTCCAAGTAAAATCCATAAATAGAAATTGTCAACCAAACCAGTTGTATTAACTGGCTGTTTGCATGTCTAGTCTAGGCCAGCAATGCCCAGATCACTTACACTGGAGTAGCTTTTATCTAATGTATCCAGCATTTCTTGAAATGTAATGAGTTGTTTATCTTAGTTTTCAGTCTGCTCCACACATAGCAAAATGCTCAATTTGAAGCAGTTGGTTTCTCCAAGTGAAAGAATCTTTAATGTTTTCCATTTCCAACTTTCAAGATACAAATGGAGAGTTAAACCAACTTGTTGACCATTTAAAAAAAACCAAGCAGTTGATACCTCCTCATAGAAAAAAAAGAACCCAATCTAAAAACACAAGCAGACAAACAAAAACCAACAAAAAACTCCACCACTTAAAAAATCCAACACTGTGTTTCAAAAGAATTAAAGTAAGATACTTGATTTTTGGAGCTGTGTGTGACATAGGAATATGTGACTGTTACAGCTCTCTATTTACTAATGAATCCGTTTTTCCTTATTAATGGGAATGACTTGGGTACAGAAGCAGACATTTTCCCAGCAACATAACCCTGTGCATGTTTTCAAACCAGGATTTTGTGCCACTTTATCAAGATTTTGAGAACTTTTACACCAGAAACCTCTATATGAGAATACGGGATAACTGGAACCGGCCAATTTGCAGTGTCCCTGGGCCACAGTTTGACCTCATGGAACGTGTTACAGATGATTACAACTGGACATTTAGGTGAGTCATCTTACACTCTGCACCTCTCAGCTTCAAAAGAATACTCCTGGTACATCTGCAAGTTGCTGACCATCTGACCCTTTTCCTCTGGAATTGTTTGGAAACACAGTATGGATTTCCAAGTCAATCACAAATGGGTTTGTTTGGCTGTGTCAGCACAAGTAAAACTGCTGATGCTTCATTTATAACGACAGACCTTTACTCAGAATATTACAACAAAATTTCTTGTATCCCATGGTTAGGATTTAAATCACAATCTCTTGCATTGCGTGAATGTGGTTTCTTGCTTTCACAGTGAGTCTTTGGGAGCGGGTTTTAAGCAGATTACAGCTTGAAGATTTCAGTGTATCACAACTGAATTAAACAGCTGTGGGAATTCAGAGCATAGACAACGTGTAGGTTGGCTATTTTTCAGTTTAGTGAGAATGTATCTTAGTGTTTCCCACAACATTTTGGTCATGTTTAATTTCTCTGTCTGTATGAGAACACTGAAGCCTTTGTGGAAGCTGTTGACATTTTGCTTGAAAAATTAGTGTCTCTAAGTTGTTCCTTAAATGAAGTTTTAGGTTGGTTTATTTCTTTAAATGCACAAAAGCAGCCTTTCACCTAATAACCACTATATTGCCATCTACAACTTGGCTTCTAGAAAACATTCTGACCAGGAAAGAGTATTTAGCCAGAAAAAAGAGAAAGGCTGTAAAAACCTTTGGGTTGGTAGAGGACTATAAATTCCCAAATAGAACAAAATTTGGTGGAAAAATTTTGGGATTTTTTTTCTTTTCGCTTGTTGTTGGAGGGGAAGTTGCACTATTGTTTAAAATTTGCTTTAATTCTAGGTTTACAGGAAGGACTATCAAGAATGTAATCAATATGGGTTCTTATAACTACCTCGGCTTCGCAGAAACAGATGTTAATGCTTTGAAAACTGTGACCATAGAGTTAGAAAAGTATGGGACGGGAGTCTGCAGTACCAGACAAGAAATGGGTGAGTAAACAGCTGGATGTTTACTCCAGGTAAACCTTGTTTACCAAGGTTTCTGTAATTATATGCTTTTTTTTACAGCTATCTTGAAGGAATCACATCAGCAATTACTTGTTTCGCAATTAAAAGGGATGCTGTGTTTTATTTGTTATCACATGAGGATATTTTTTCAAAAGGAAAAATAATACTGATTTTTGGAAAAGCAAAACTAAATGCTTGGGATTTTTAATGATGGAAGTAACGGGCTTATTTTTTAAGAGAAGTAAAAACCACACAGAGACTTCAAGAACTGTTCTAGGGCAAATCAGTTGCATCACAGATTTACATCTGTTACCACACACAGATGTTTCAGATAAAGAAAATTATCTTTTACATAATTTTTTTTTAATCCCATGTTCTAAGAGCATATTGAAATTTTTTATGAGACGTTATTGGCACAAAATAGAAATTTCTGCTGCGCCTTTAAGGAATAAACTCAGGAAGGCTCTATCTGACTTTTTTGCTTTATGTGTCCTTTATGATTTGTCTGCTTTTTTAGTTTGTGGGCTGCATGTAGTGTTACCTTCAACTTTATATTTTTACACAAAGCCGTGCATTCCTAATGGTACAATCAGCTTACATTTCGGAGAGAATTTCAAGCCACAGAAATGCAAGGGGTGGTTTCTCTTCAGATTTTATCTTTCTTAGGAGTTAATTAAAAAAAAAAAAAAAGGTAGGCTTGTCAGAATAGAGAAGTCTTTTATAGACCTTTTATCCTAATCCAGCAACCTGAAAAAATTTCGGTTTTTATCTCCCGAAGTAAACTCTGTTCCTCCGGAAATGTTATGAAAAAGATACTGTATTTATTTTGAGTTTCTATTAGTGTCTCATTTCCAGATGAAACAATAACACGAACCTTGCCACCTGCTTCTTATCTTGTCAACATGCTTTGATTTGCCAGTAATAACTATGTCAGTGACACCACTCAGAGAGGGTTCACAGATTGACCCTACTTTCCTTTTGTAGGTGACCCATCTGGTGACTGCAATATATTATTTAACCTGAATTGCATGCTTGAAAATGGTCACCATTTCTAGTCATCTAAGGTATTGAAGGAAGCTTTCTTTCTGTCTTTTTGCTCTTGGATTTTGGCTAAGAACATTTCAGTACATCTAAGATTATGACTGGTGTTACTTATTCTTTAGCTTTTGCAGAATTTTTTTAATGGAAGACTTGTGTAACCTTGACTTGTTCTCGGAAAAAAAAGTTAACTTATTAAAAGATTTTTCTTTCATTGGCCCTGGCTTTTGTTGGAGCCTGTCTGTCACCAAGACCTGTATAAACAACCTAAGGAAAATAGCCTCATAGCGTGGATACCCTCTTTCCTTCCTCCTTTACTCTCTTGTACTGCCTCAGCTCTGCTCTCATCACAGTCCAACAGATTTGAAAAATTCTGAGTTAAATATATATACACATATACTTTCAAGTGAGTTGGGAAGGCTCTGTAAGAAAGGTCTTACCTGTTTTAACTAGCATTTGTCATCTCCATCCTGGATAAATAGAACAGACTGGGTTTGTTTCTGGGCAGATCACATTTCAAAACTTTTGTTGTTATTGTGTGGCTGAGCTCAAGTGGTTTGAAGTAAAAATGCAGTGAGCTGCAGGAGCCAAGGCTGTAAATTGCCTATGGGGTCTTAATTCAAGAGAGCACTTGAACATATTTATATTTTCAAGCTACATGACTTTGAAAGCACTGTTCTGCTTGTGTGCATTTAAGTGGCTGGCATGTTTGAGTTTTACCAACATCTCTCTTTGAGAAGGATCATTCCACTACTTTCAGAAGATTTCAGGGGGGAGGGCAAAACAAAGAAGACACAAATGAAAGTGATTTGAGTGGTTTGAAAGAATACATGATGGTGAAACTGTCCTTTGTGCTCTTCTGCCTACACTCCTCCTCTTATAATTGTGCGGGCTGTGGAGTGGCTGTGAATGCTGTCATATCAGAGTGTTGGTGCAGGTAGTTTGCTCTCAGAATAAGTCAACGTGGATGTTTAAACATGGTTAAAACTGATAAAAACAGTGGCTGACATTCCTAGATTTGTCCTCCCTAAAAAGATTAAAAGCTTTTCACTCCATTTTTAATTCCATACTCTTTTTAAATGATAATAAGAAATCACTTCCTTAGTAAACAGTGTCATTTTAGACATGTTTCTGAGGCTTTTGTGGGATTTTGAATGTGAAAAGAAAAATATTTTCCTTTTTTAAGACCAAGCTAGCTATTACCCTTTAGGAGCAAGATCTTGGAGCTTTAGGTAGTAGTTCTGTGAAAGCATTAGCTTGTTGTTCAGTGGTCAGAAAGCAAATCAAACACTAGGAATTATTAGGAAGTGAACAGAAAGCCAACCACAGCCTTAGTATGCTGCATAAAGCTGCTGTTTGCTGTTGTCTTGAGTACTCTCTGTAGTTCTGATAAAAAATATTTAGCAGAACTGGAAAGTGCAAGAGAAGGGCCAAAAGGATCATCAAAGGCCTCAAACAGCTTCTGGGTGAAGAACTACTGAGCTTGCTGACCTCAGCTGTCAGAAATGCCTGTCGTCTGCCTCAGAAAGAGCCTGAAGGGAGAAATTATAGAAATCTTCAAAATTATGTGTGGCATGAAGAGAGGTCAGGGTTCACTGTTCATTGCCTCTGCCACTGCCAGATCTACAGGGTGTTGTATGAAGTTGGTAGAAGGTTTCCACCTAAATCCAGGAGGCAGCTCTCCACACTGGAGGCTGGCAGACCCGAGGAACTCTTTGCAAAGGAAGCTGCAGATGCCAGAACTTCACACTCCCTTGCATTCCAAGGGACACTGGCCACATGCAGAGGAGAGATCATTGATAGAAATTAGAAAAACACAAAATGTTGTCTGATTCAGGATGTCCTTAAGCTGCAGTTATTCAGAAGCTGGGATACTACTATATATGTCTGTCCTGCTTTCGTTCTACCCCAATCAACACATCAGACATCAATACAAGACAACTGTCAGATGAAGGATTACGAGCAAAAGGGACCTTTTTTTGTGTATATGGTACATTTAGTACTAGTTGTTTAGCATTATTTAATGTAATTAGTTGTTTAATATGAATTTATATTATTAATTACATGCCTATAGCCATTACTGGACAATTGTTAATAGTGAACCTGTTGACTAGCAAATCATCATACAAATTTGACTTGAACTAGGAACACACACATACTTGTATTGTTATGAAGCTGGGCAGTATTTACAACAAAGGTAGCACATAAGGAACTAATGAAGCAGTAACCCTGCTGTTTTCAGTGTTTCTAAGTACACTAAGATTAGAAAGGTATTAAGGGAAGATACTTAAATCGACAAGAAAGAGATGCACATAAGCCTGGGGCATGTCTTCTACGAGCAGTAGCTTGGGTGAATGTGTGAAAGTGGTTGTTTGCAGATGGTAGGCAGAAGGCAAAACCCAGTGATGATGGGTCTGCTTAGAGGGGAAATACTTTTCAGTTCTGTGTGGTATGTGGCATGACAGTAGTCCCTGAAGGATCTTGGTGGCAAAAATTTAAGCATAAATAAGACCGTTCAGAAAATTTCAGAGCAGCTGGAGATGTAGAACAGAGAAAGGTCCTCTGGGTCAGAGGGGCAGGCTGGGAGGAAGGATAGGACCATTCACCTGGAATGGTAAGAGTATTCTGAGCACATCTGAGACTGGGGAGGTTAAACTTATCAAAGCCAGTGGAGAAGATGCTGCATTAACTGTATGAGATGCCATGGGAGGATACAGCGAGATCTGCACCTATATCTGACAAAATTGACCATGAGTGTTATTTAAATTAAAACAGCTTTTGTCAGCAGCAGTTTCTCCTGTAGGTGCAGAAAAGGTCAATTTTTTTTTTCCCCCTTTGGCTAGTTCATTGTACATTGTACATTTTTCATGTCCTGATTAGTTTCTTGAAGTTTTGTTTTTCAGAAATAGACCTTGGGTCTGAATCAATAATTCTTAAATGTTGCAGGATTTAAGTAGCCATCCAGTACCTAAAGGTGGCTACAAGAGAGCTGGAGAGGGGCTTTTTACAAGGGCATGGAGTCATAGAATAAGGGGGAATGTCTTTAAACTGACAGAGGGCAGGTTTAGATTAGATTTTAGGAAGAAATTCTTCACTATGAGGGTGGTGAAGCACTGGCACAGTTTGCCCAGAGAAGCTGTGGCTGCCCCATCCCTGGAAGTGTTCAAGGCTGTGTTGGATGGGGCTTGGAGCAACCTGATCTAGTGGAAGGTGTCCTTGCCCATGGCAGGGCGGTTGGAACTAGGTGGTATTTAAGGTCCCTTCCAACCCAAACCATTCTATGATTCATTCCATAAGTAACTGGACACCAACTATTCGAGTAACTGGAGTGCTTGGAACGTTAGGGTATTTATTGTAATTACCCCAAAAAAATCTCTGTACCACATTTTATGTATTTTAATCTGCCTTTCAAAAGCATTATTTTTTAGCTTAATAAAAAATGCTGGCAAATAGGAATCTAAATAAATTTGATGTAGCATATATTCCCTCTATATAGTGGAAAAATAATGAAAGAATGACAGCTTGAATGTGAAGTCCTTTTTTCCCATGCAAATCAATGTATTTTAATGGCTGGAGTGGGAACTGGCTACTGTTGGAGACAGACTCACAAGCCTTTTGTCTGAGCCCATCCTGTCATTCTGTGTTTACAGTCAGCCTTTTCTAAGCAACATAACTGAAAATTATTGACAAACAAGCAAATTAGTCTCCTGGTTGCTGCTTGCAGATGATAATAAAATCAGTAAAGTTACACTTCTTTTAAGATAAGGCAGATTACCATGCCCTGAACACTCCTAGGCTTAGCACCGGGCTGGTGACAGGACTGTCACATGGACAGCTGGTAGTTCCAATGCTCTATTTATCTAACTGCCCATTATTCCTTATGGAGATGATCTACGTGAGTAACTGGAGCAAATGTATCATTAGTGCTCCTTAAGCAGCCAAGC